TGTTTCTCTCTCATCGATGTTTCTGACTCTCTATCCCTCTCCCTTCCTCTCTGTGAAAAATCAATAAAATATATATTTTTTAAAAATTAGCCCTGGCTGGTTTGACTCAGTGGATAAGGCATCGGACTGCAAACTGAAAAGTCCCAGATTCGATTCCGGTCAAGGGCACGTGCCTGGGTTGCAGGATCAATTCCCAGTTGGGGCCGTGTAGGAGGCAGCTGATCGGTGATTCTGTCTCATCATTAATGTTTCTATCTCTCTCTCTCCCTTTTTCTTCCTCTCTGAAATCAATAAAAATATATTTAAAAAAAAAGTTAAAGCCTCTGTCCATATAAATCTTCATAACATCTTTATTTGTAACAGCCCCATGTGGAAACACATTAACATTAAAAAAATGTCCATCAATAGACAAAGTGTGATGTACCCATAAAATAGTAATCAGCAACTATAAGATGCTACCTATTGCTCTAGCTGGTGTGGCCCAGTGGTTGGAGTGTCAGCCCACACACCAAAGGGTCCCACGTTTGATTCCTGGTCAAGGCCATGTGCCTGAGTTGTAGGTTCAATCCCCAGCCAGGTTGGGATGTGTGCGGGAGACAACCGATCGATATGTCTCTCTCACAGCAATGCTTCTCTCTCTCTCTGTAAAATATCAATAAAAAAATATCCTTGGGTGAGGATTAAAAAAAGAAAAAAAGGTGTGATCTATTGATATATAACATATGGATGTATCTCAAAGTAATTATTAGTAAAAATAAACAAACAAAAAGTAAATGATTCCATTTATAAAATTTCTAGAAAATGCAAACTAATCTATAATGAAAAGTCAATCGGGTTAATAGAAGGGGTAAAACAGGATACAAAGTGCTTGAGAAAACTTCTGAGAGTGATGAACACATTCATAACTTTGACACTGGTAGTGATGATTTCATGTGTATACATATGTCAATACTTAGCAGACTGCACACTTAAAATATATAGTTTTGTTATTTGCCATTACATCTCAATAAAGCTATTTGCAAAAAATTCTAATATATTAAAATGGAAAAAATTACCCAAGTATATCAGAAAGAATGAGAGGCTATAAAACAGTATACCTATTTTTGTCCAAAAAACTGTTTTACATGTGTATACACATAAAATATGTTTAGAGGAAAGTATAAGAAAATAAACTTGCAATAAAAAGTTTCTTCTAGCCCTAACCGGTTTGGCTCAGTGGATAGAGCGTTGGCCTGCGGACCGAGAGGTCCCGGGTTCGATTCCGGTCAAGGGCATGTACCTTGGTTGCGGGCACATCCCCAGTAGGGGTTGTGCAGGAGGCAGCTGATTGATGTTTCTCTCTCATTGATGTTTCTAACACTCTATCCCTCTCCCTTCCTCTTTGTAAAAAAATCAATAAAATATATATATATATTTTTTAAAAAAAAGTATCTTCTAGCCCTGGCCAGTGCACCTCAGTTAGTTAGATGGGCGTCATCCTGTGCACTGAAAGGTTGTTGGGTTTAATTCCTGGTCATGTGACTGGGTTGTGGGCGTGATCCCCAGTGAGGGGTGTGTAGGAGGCAGCCAAGCAATGTTTCACTTTCACATTCACATCGGATGTTTCTCTCTCTCTCTAAAAATCTATTAAAAAAGAAAGTTCCTGCGGGAGGGTGGGAGCGGAGGGTAAAAAAAAAAAAAGAAAAAAGAAAAAGAAAAGTTCCCGCTAGTAACTGACATTAGGAAGGCCTT